CCATGTTGCGAACTCCTGAGGCTGGTCACTAATTCCTGCGCTCAGGCAATCTGCCCACCTTGGCCTCCCAAAATGCAAAAAAAAAAAGAAAGAAAAAAACCAGAAAAAGTCGTCTCATTGCTACCCAGCTACCACACTGTCTCTCGATGTAAGGTCAGTCATCAAATGTAGTCACACTTGTACTGAAATCCTCTGTACATCACTGGCGTTCCTAAGAAATAAAAAAATCCTGTAGCTTTTTCATTGTAAATTTCATGTTATTTTATTAAAACTTTTAGGTTTTCTTTAATCTCCAAGGAAGGGGAAGGTATATTATCCATGAAAGAAGTCTTTTGAAAACACATATTCTGACTTTACTAAATTTACAGGGGAAAAAAGAGGTCAAGAAAGGAGGGAGAAATTAAGCAGATGTATTCCAGAGGGAGTTCATGCATCTTCGGTGTGCCGAACTTCATGCCTGTCAACTCTGTTTGCAGATAAAATCGTGATGTCATTATTTATCCTGTTGTTCCATTTTTTGCTTATAACATTGTATGTCTGCTTTTTCCATCCTTATCTTTCGCGATCACCCTGTGGCCCATGGCATAGATACGTTCCCTCTTCACAGCACCCCTCTCTTCTTGGAGTTTCTAGAACCCCACTGTCATCAGGTTTCTATTATGCATTTTTATACTTTCTGCGTGACCTAAGCCACATCTGTGGTTTCAACTATAATCTTAGATCTTGTAACTCCTGAAATCTAAGCCTCCTGAGACTTGCTCATGAGCTCCAAACCCTTATTTCTAATTTCCTACAAAACACTTCCACCTGGAAAGGTAGACTCAGAATACTCAAAACTCAAGTCATCATCTCTGCCCATCCCCTTACCATCCAATGGTCCACTTTTCAATGAGCAGCACTTAGTGGATGAAGCCTGGCATTCTGATCTTTTCCCTGCTCCATGCAGTTGGTCATCTGGTCATTTCAATTGTATCTCTCACTTAATCTCTTCTGAGCCTGTCCCTTGCGCTGGTCAGTGCCTTATTTTAAGCCCTTGTTTCTCACCCATATTTCTACACAAGCCTTATAACTAGCATCCCAGCCTCCAGGTTTGGACCCTTGGCCTTCCCAAGTCGGCCTTCCCACTGCCATCACTGTCTTGAGTTGTCGTGCCCTTGGCTAAAATCATTTGGTTAAAATCCCAGCTTAGTATGGTGTGTGACAACCCTTGTGATGCCTGCTTGCTCTTCCTGTCTTGCCCACCCTCCAAAAGCCCATATATTTTCCAAAACACTAGAAGACATGCCTCATGTACTCGCACGCCAACCTGTCTTTGCCTATACGTGTTCCTTCTCTCAGAAACCCTCATTTCTCTTGTTTGCTTGGTTCACTCCTATTCACCTTCCAAGACCTCAGCTCAAATGTCAATTTCCCAAGGAAGCCTTTCCTAACTTCACCTATCCCCTTCTCCTTGGGTGTTCCCCAAATCGCCAATGACCAATCTGTCAGACTTCTCTACAACCTGGGCTTTTTCATCTGGCTCTGAAAACTCACTTCATTTTAAACAACTGCCAATGACTCTCCCCCTTGGACTCAGCACTAGGAGGATGGGAACTATGCTGTGTTTTGTCTATTTATCCCCAAAACTCAGCATGCAGACTCAGGGTTCAACACGGTCGGTGGGTGAAGGAATAGATTCACGGGGATGGGGGAGGTTACAATCTGCTTTACCTGTCTCTGCAGATGTTTTCTTGCCCTAAGCTGTGTACTCTCACCATCTTCTCCTAAGTGCTACCATATTTGAGTTTTATGATAAAGGGAATGTCTTCTAGATGGGAAAAATCACTGGCCTTTTCTACCCAGAGTGTCCAGTGTTCTCTGCTAGTAAATTATAGAAGTGGGAGCTAAAGTCTTGATGGTGACCTTCAGTGTCCTTCCAGTCTGGTTCACTCCACTATGACTTTTCTGACAACGTTTCCTGCAATCTAGGCTTTACTACATTTCTGCTCCAACCACACAGACCTCCTTCCTAAACCCTGAGGACACAGGGCTGGCTCCTGCCTTAGGGTCTTTGCAATTGTCCAGAATGATAAAATTTTCTTCCTCCAAATAGCTACAATTTCAGGTCTTTGCCCAAACGTCACCTTCTCAGTGATGCCTCTTTAACTACCCCTGGCCCCCTCAGATTTCCTATATTCTGGGTTCTCCACTTTGTTTTTTCATCTTCACAGTGTCTATCATCTGGCACACTATATATTTTAATTGTCTCTATGAACGGAAGCTCCCTCTAAGAAGGGATTTTGTCTGTTTCATTCCCTGCCAAATCTCCAGCATCTAGTCCTCAGTACACAGCAGGTACTCAGTGATTTATCTTCCACACTAGGTAATGGTTTTCAAGTTTTTAAAAAGTAGCACAAACCAAAAAAAACAACAAAACAGACAACCCAATTTTTAAAATGGGCAAAGGACTTGAATAGACATTTCTCTGAAGAACATATACAAAGGGCCAATACACAATGAAAAAATGCTCAGCATCACTAATTATCAGGGAAATGCAAACCGAAACTACAGCAAAATACTACCTCACAGCCATTAGAATCATTACTATATTAATGAAAAACAGAAAACGACAAAGCTGGTGAAGATGTGGAGAAACAGGAAACTCTCTCCATTGTTGGTAGGAATGTAAAATGGTACAGCCAATGTGGAAAACTATGGCAGTCCTCAAAAAATCATACAGAATTATCATATGATTCATCAAATCCTCCCTCTAGGTATATAGCCCAAAGAATTGAAAGCAGGAACTCAAAGAGATATTTGTTCACCTATGTTCACAACAGCATTATTCAGAATAGCTGAAAGGTAAAAAACTTCTGGCTCACATTACAACATGGGCAAAACCTTGAGAACATTATGCTACGTGAAATAAGCCAGGAACAAAAAGGCAGATGTGGTATCATTCTGCTTATGTGAGGTACCTGCAGTGGTCAACTCATTGAGACAGGAAACAGACTGGTGGTCGCCAAGGCATGAAGGGAGAAAAGGGGAGAGTTCGTGTTGAATGAATAGAGAGTTTCAGTTTGAGAACCTGAAAAAGTTCTGGAGATGATGATGGTGATGGTTGTACAGATACGTGAATATACTTAATGTCACTGAACTATATGCCGAAAATTGGTAAATTTTATGTTACATACGTTTGACCACAATTTTAAAAAAGCAAAAGAAGGTCAACTCTTGTCTTAAACTCAGTAAGAAGCCTAATAGGTAAGGCAGATGTAAGGGAAGTTGCCACAGTCGGAGCCGGAATGGAGCCCCAGGGCTCTCCACTCTGCTGGCTTCTTGCTCTTGGAAAATGGACCCCACCCTGATACGAAACCACCACAGAGGAAGGTCAAAGCTCCGTCCCAAAGTGCTTATGCACCGGTTTCACTGTTTTTAAGGACAAGAAGTTAAAACGTCACCCTTGGCTCCATTTCTATAAGGAACGTAGTAAAAAGGAAAAATGTCATCACCAACTGCCCTTGGGCCAAATGTCAACACGGACTGATTTTTAGAGAGACCACTTTAATGAACCCCAGTGGCAGGGGGAAAAGATCAGGAGAAACAGCAACACTAAGTCACTGGTGCTCATATCCAAGGATCATGGATGCCTCACACTTTCTGAGCCCCTTTCCATAGTAACAATCCTCAAAATAATCCTGTCAAGTGGGTATGAAAAGAATTGTGTAATCTCCAGTTCACAGGTGAAGAAACACAAAGTTCAGTCACAGAGAATAACCGAAATGGGACTGACCTCCGGATAATAATCACTAACACTTATTACGGATTTATTAAGACACTTGCTTAACATTTTTCCACGGACTGTTGGAGTTCATATTTCCAATCAGCCTCCTTCTACCATTTGGTAGTTACTGCTGCTATTATTCCTTTGCAGAGTAGGCAAACTGAGGCTCAAAGAACAATCATCCCAAAATTAAGTAGCTAAAGTGGCAGACTGCACAGTCACCTCACTCCAGGGCCTCTGCACTTAACCATCACCATTCTATACTGTCCATCTGGGTCCTCAGCCCTGGCTCTTTGGAAAGGGCCTTCCTTCAACCTAGAAAACACGTACGACTGATAAATTCCCCAAAGTCAACTCTAAATTAAACTAGTACTAACAAAATAAGTATTATTCCCTGAGCATAGCTGCAATGAGACACTATTGCTATAAGTAAGAATAGATTCCTAGATTTTAAAAAATCCTATGAAAATTGTTACGCAAAAGTGTCCTCAAGATGATCAGAATGAATAGTCACATTTGGGTCTGTCCATTCTGTGTCTCTTGATTTTCCCAGGAAACATCTCTCTATAAATCAAATCATCTCCTGGCAGCCAGAGTGTTGATGACTCCCCGAGCTTTTCTGAGAGCTTCTTCAGAGCTTTCTGAGGAAATGTCTGCTTTATTTTCCAGAAACTGGAGACAGGAGAAATATTTTGTGTTTTTTCAAGAGCATTCAGTCTGCAAGGCCATCCCATGGGCTGCAAGAGTTTTGGGCCAACTGGAACAGGTATTAATTTGGAAGAACGTCAGGCACGGGTTGCAAATGGGTGACTATCATGGGCAGGCAAGGAGGAGAAAAGGGCCAAGTCAGGGCAGGGCTTGAAGCAACAGCCGGAGTTACTTCCTCCCCTCAGGAGAGGCTTTTGGACTATTTCCTTACAAAGACCTAGAAGTGGCTCCTTTGAAACCACCAAACATTGTATGTGTATGTCAATGATTACAACAAGAGCTAGATACATATGGTGTGGGTGTTTCATTTACTTTGTGTTAAAAACCTAATCACAAGCTCATCATACATGTGTGACCTCCAGCTTGGAATGTGTGGTTCCCCAATGATAGGCCCGCCACCCCACTAACTCAGGGGACACTGCTTTCTCGCTTCCATTGCAGACTTAGGGGAAGCCCTAATGTCTTCCAGTGGGACCACAGTGTGCGCCATTCCTCTCACCTGAAACCCAAGGATGAAGAAGGGTCTTACCGAGTTCTCCTTCAGCTGCAGCCCTTCCCCATTGGGAAGGGAGGACCGTCTCTTGGATGAGTTCCTGTTTGGGGTTGAGGTCATGGTCCCTGCCTTCTTCTTCACAGTGAGCACTTCACAGCTGGCTTGGTCTTCATTGTGTGTGCTCTTCCCAGCATTGATAACCCTGGAGAAGAAGCCAGAAAAGCTGGTCAGACAGAATGATAAAGCTGAGAGCACAGTCCCTTGTCAAGGGTCAGCCAAGACAGTCTCTATAGCTGGCCCGGAACTACAGCCCAGCTTAATGCAAAGAACATTACGGTCTTGGTATTTTATGCTCCCAAATAAATGAATTTTTCAAAAAATAGAATTACGTTAGCATTCTATTTAATGAGTTAGCACTCATTAAAATATTTACTAAGGAAGTTGTTTTGAGACTGTTCACCTTCACAGGTGTCTGACAGATGCGATCAACTCCGCCGACCCATTCTAGTCAAAACACACAAGGCAATCACTCTTTCAGGTTAAGGACAGCGAATTTTTTGGCAATTGCAATGAAGACAGGTAATCTGGCTCAGGGAATTCTGTTTCACTTCTCCAAGTGATAAAGAGCAAAACCTTCACCAATCTTATCAAAGTACATGGTGGTCATTTACAGCATGTCGTAAAAATCCAAGGTAACAGAGAACCATATTTCACTACTGCCAGACCCATTTTTGCTTTACACAAAGGCAAGCGAATGGATCAAAGGTTTACTCTTTTAAAACTATTTTTAATGTCTTGTCTTTTTTTCCTGTAGAATTACACTTATCACACTGGGCTATAGGCACTCTGATTTGGAAACTAAGACACATAATAATAGTATCATGGCATGTCGACACTGCTTTGCTCTAATTACTAAATGTTTTAAGCATAGAAACGCTTCAGGAACACATGCTCCATCATTCCTGCACCTCTTTCTCTATCAGGTGACCATAGCATCAACTCTTGTGTTTCTGCACCAGTTTCTTCTTGAGTAATTAAGCAGTAGCTAAAACAGATTTCCTTAAAGAGATTTCTCCTTGATCTGCCACTGCCTGGGTTTCCTTTCTAAAACTTCAATAGTGTCGCAGTACTGACAGAATGAGTGTGGAGTTTATAGAACTCAGTAGCAAGGGAAAAAAAGGGTTTTCTCTTTTTAAGGTAAGCTAAATAAAAATTCACTTTATAAGTGTGATGTGCACACTGCTCTATTGAGTTGCACAGCCTCGTCACAGTTAAAATTATTTGCAAATGACTTTAAAAACCTTTTCATTCTACAATAATTATAGGCTCACAGTAAATTGCAAAAATAGTACACAGTCCCACGTATCTTTTGACCAACTCCCCAAACGGTAACATCTTATGTAAGACAGTGCAATATCAAAACTGAGAAAATGACATTGATACAATACTCTCACCCAGTCTCCTGACCTTATTCAAATTTCACCAGTTCTTACATCAAATAGCTTTTAGTACTAAAAACGGTATCAGTCTCCGTAAGCCAACACCCACATGGCACAACCAAATAGGAAATGGAAAGCAAACTGAGACTTGAGTGCCGCAGGATCGAAGCAAGCGTGTTTCAAGCACGCTTCTGTCAAACTCTGGAATTCTACTGAGGCATTTCAGACACTTTCACATTTTGTTTTTTAAATGTATATGGATTTTTAAAAATGCACTAATTTAGAAATTCATTCCCATCTGTACATGTGAACAAATACATGCTGGTTAATACACTTTGGGCAGCTTTAGCATAGTAAGCCATCTAGCTTTTCTCTTCAACTGACCATATCATTGATTGGAAGGAGAATTATTTTTTAATTACTATTTGCAATTACTTATCTGCAAGTTCTAACAAAAAGATCTTATTAGTCATCTATTTCCCCAATTTCAAATGTCTGTATTAATCAAAATTGCTTCACTGGTCTTACTGGATTTACTATGAATTTCAACTTACACACACACAAATATATATATAAAATATATTTACATATATTATATATATAATATATTTACATATTATATATATAATATATATTTACATATTTATATATATATATATATATATATATATATGGTTGTTTTTTTTTTTCTTTTTTGAGACGGAGTCTCACTCTGTCGCCCAGGCTAGAGTGCAGCGGTGCAATCTCATTGCAACCGCTGCCTCCCAGGTTCAAGTGATTATCCTGTCTCAGCCTCCCAAGTAGCTGGGACTACAGGAACGCATCATCACACCTGGCTAATTTTTTGTATTTTGAGTAGAGATGAGGTTTCACCATGTTGGCTAGGCTGGTCTCGAACTCCTGCCTCAGGTGATTCACCCACCTCGGCCTCCCAAAGTGCTGGGACTACAGGCGTGAGCCACAGCACCTGGCCAACTTAAGCATATTTTTATAAACAAAAGCCTACATTTACTCATTTCACATATTACAGTCTTTCCCAAGACTGTCTTTAAATAGACTTTGCTTACAAAGTTTGACAATGATTGTCCTGAGGCCTGTGTAAGGAATTGGGCATCCTTGCTGATCGAGGTCAAATTGGCCTGGAGTGCTCATCACACACTCTCAGGGGCTGAGGGATGATTCTATGTCTATTTTCTTGCCCCACCTTCACCCTTTCTCCTCTAAGGAAAGACATTTTCATATGGCTTAAGGATAAAATGTAAATACTGATGACACAATGAGGCTACCTGCAGGACAATGATTAATTCTACCACATTTACTGCCGGAGCTAAGTAACTTATCCCAAACTCCACAGCCAGGAAGTGGCACAGCTGGGATTCAGAATAAGCCTACCTTGAACCCTAACCCAACCTCTTCCAACCTTGGGGACATCAGTCTGTGACAGGCTGAGCTGGACTGTGGGGTAGCACAGAATAAGCAAATCAGGCAAGGTCTGGGCTAGGCCTGAGAGGAAGGGGAATTATTTCTTTGAGTCTCTGGCTATTGGAGGAGTCTGGGCAAAGGCCCAGGAAGAGGGAAAGAACAGGTGGCTCAGATCTGCCTGTCCTTAGAGAAGCTCAAGCTATCCAGGCCAAGTCACTAGGGGGCTTGCTGCTGAAGCTCACAGTACAGAACATGCATTCGTCTGGAACATCCCTTTTACATCTCTCCTCAGAGAAGCAAGCCAGGCAGGGGAGGGAGGTACGAAATACCACTCGCCTCCTCCCAGTCACTGGGGACGGCGAATTCCCAAGCAACATGTTTGGGTGGATTGTGTACTGGATGATGTTATACCACCACAGTGTCCCAAATGAGTGCCTTCCCTGGGGAAAGCTCAATCAGAGGTTCAGCTGGGAAAACTTGTTCACGACGACCATCCCTCCACACTGTCGTCCGTACAAGATCCCTGGCTGCTATTTCCAGAACTTAGCATCACTCTGACCATTGGCACCTAACCCCGGTTGTAGAAAGGTGTTTTTTCCTTTGGGTTTTGTTTTTTGAACCAAGAAGCATCACTGATCTCCAACAGCTACACGCCAGGCTGACTCATCCACCACTGCTTCCAACAGACAACAAAGCTACTATAATTACATAAATCACGAATCCCGGTCCCCTTAATGTGCTTCATCTCCTGTCTTTCTCCCAGTGGTTATCAAACTCCAAAGATGACCTAACTTCAGCAAGAGGTCTTAGAAACTTCCCTGTACGCATATGAGAAACCGGTGACCTGCAGGACCGTGACCGGCACAAGGTCACATAGCTAAATGTGAACACTCTTTTGAGTTCTGAGAGCTTTCTGCTTCAGCTCTCGGGTTGTTTTATTTTCCTATTGTGCATCTATTCTTGTCGGTGCTTGGTTCAGAGGTCTGTCCTGCAATGACTCAAACCCAGAGAATTGTGAAAGAACAATGACCGCTGCCCTTACTTTGCTGTTTCATGCTGAATATAGCTTACGAATACCACTCATGAAGTACCACTCAGAAATGTCAATCTAACGGGAAGATGGCGGTCCCACCTCTGCAAGCCTGTTTTGTCAGAAATGATGACCATTCAGATAATAAAATATTAATTTAAATATTAAATTTTAAATATCAATTTAGAATCCATTTAAAAAACACAGCTCTTATCCCTTTTATTATTTGAACTCCCCTACTCCACACAGCTTTAGTAGAAAGCCTCCTTCTTCTCAATCTCATTTGGCTTTAACAAGTTTGACCAGTATCAACTTGAACATTTTATTTTGCACTTCAAAGGTAACTTCTTTATTTACTAAATATAAACAAAATCTTTAATTTTATAAAAAGTAATTGAGAAAAACTTTGTTTCCCGAGCTGAGGAGCAGCATGCTGTTAGCAGATTCAACAGTTTCCTCAAAGGCAGGCAGGTGGAGCAGAGGCACCACTCCCTCGCTGTATGCTCCAGCACGTCAGTACCACCTTGAGGCCAACCAGAAAGAAGACGATGCTGTCTACATTCTGAGCCTAAACAATACTTACACGTGATGCTTATTTTGAAGGCTTTAAAAAAAATGCTGGCGGACCCTGAATCATCATACCTTCGGTCACATTCTTTTTCAATTTACTAGGAGGGAAAATATTTTTCTTGAAATTAAACTGGAGGTAGTAAGTCATGGTGGTTTTCAACAAAACCTATCTTCCTAGAATATAGCACATAGCAGGTGCTCAACAAATGTTTACTGAATGAATTTGACAGAAATCAACTCTGCTACTTCCTAGATGTAGATAATAGTATCTCACATTTTCCGAGAGCTATGTATGGCCAGAGACTGCGGTTAGTATTTTATAGAAAGCAATTAACTCATTTCATCCTCTTGTCAACTCTATGAGGTAGCTGCCACTGTTACTCCCTTTTTAAATGAAGTCACAGCTAGTGACTGGTAGAGTAGTTTGGTCAAGTTACTTGACGTTTGTAAATCTTAGTTTCTTAGCTGTACTTAATGGATTAAATTCTATGACTTACTAAAATTGTGTGTGCGTGCGTGCGTGTGTGTGCATGTGTGTGTGTGTGTGTGTGTTGGGGAGGGGGGCTTTAGTCATCACAATTAAAGACACGAGTAATTTTGAAGTTTGGATTAAATTCAAGTAGGAAAAATGTTAGAGGCTGAAGGGGAAACATAGCTACTGTCTCCTCAATATGTAAAGTTTATACCCAGTTTATTCAATTCTTAGAAGAACAACAAGACATATCTTTGCCATTTAACAAA